GGAACCAAGTGGTGTTCCCACTGAGTATTCCCCATGTCCAACCATACGTGGAGAGCCAGCAGAAAGACCACATGAGAGAACCTCTACACAAGGATGCTCATGGTCAAGATACACAAGAGCTCACTTTGGTACTAATAGCCTCCAGTGAAAGACTAAGCTGTGAGTAATAAGTTTACTCTGAACCTTCAGACAGGCTTCAGAATGAGGAAGATGGTCAGCCCAATGAAGGAAGAAATCAAAGTTCCCAAGCTTGGTATGAACATAAAAATCAGAGTTGGAGGTGAGAATGTAGTGGAGACTTCTGGTTGTTCACCAAACTTTGCTACCCTTTTCCATGCTAATACACCTTAACATCCGACCACCCAGCCAGAGACTGCATCTCCCTGCCTACCTTGCCATATGAGTAAATTATCATCAATAGAATGTGAGAGGAAGTGATCAGGCAACTTCTGTCTCAATTCCTATTAGCAAACAATTGCTTCGGACTTGTACTCTTTCCCTTTCCTGCAACTCGATCATGGATATGCCTATAACCCCCTTCAATCATGATGCCAAGAACAGTGCCCTAGGAGACAGCCGGGCAACCAGGTGGAAGGAGTCCGTGTGCCTGAATGACCTCGTGGAGCAGAACAACCTCACCAACTTGGAACACTCACTGCAGGACTATGACCTTACTGCTCCGCGGGAAGCCTGCTTCTCCCTCTCCTGCTCCCCCCTGCTGTGTTGTCTCTCTCTCTGTCAAAAAAAAAAAAAAAAAAACTTAAAAAAAATAAAAACTGTACAACTTTGATGGAGTTACTTAAACTTTCTAAGCTTCAGTTCACCTATAAACAGAGGATAATAAGAATGTAGTGGGGATACCGAGAGGACCAAACCCAGTCCTGGGAAACAGTAGGCATTTCAAAACTGATAGTATCCTCTCTTCTGGAAGCCCAAATCCAGGAATTGGTGGGCATGGTTCTTTACACTGAGGACTTTACGAGGCAGAGTCCATCACCAGAAATTTTAGGTCCAACTCTCCTAATCAGCCTTCTTGAACTCTCTACTGAACCAGCTCTCCCTATCCAACACGCTCCACTCCCCCATCTCCTACCACCCAAGACACGTAAGGTCTATAATTCCTGTGACAATGGCAACTCTGAACCCACATAGCAGAAAACAAGAAGGACCCAGACTAAGGAAGGTGGGTAAGAGTGTGTGTTGTGTGAAATAAATAACAATGGATATGTGCCCACAGTTTGGGTCTAAATGATGTCTATACATTCATGGACTCCATATTTATGTGCCCTACACAACTCTCCTGAGACCAAGGGCTAAAATCACATTCCACAAACATTTACAACGAATCTATTCCATCAATCTCTAAGTTACAAGAGATATAAGGATTAAAAATGGCAAGGCCTCAGGGGTGCCTGGGTGGCTCAGTCAGTTAAGCATTTGACTCCTGATCTCAGCTCAGGGCTCGATCTCAGGGTTGTGAGTTCAAGCCCCATGTTGGGCTCCATGCTAGGCATGGAACCTACTTAAAAAATAGAAAGTTAATTAATTTTGTAAAAGACAATTTAAGAGGGTAACAGAAACACATAAAAATCTTCAATATGGACAGACTCTAAAAAGTGCTGTAATATATCAAACAAGCTAGGGTATGGACATAACTACTATGTCAAAGAGGACCAAGATAGAGTGGTTTAAACAAGAGATTTATTTCACTATAATGAAATGTTTGATATGCACATGTGACAAAAGGAGGAACTGCCTAGTTTAAGTAATATTATGAAAGCGGTGAAATCTATTCTCTTGGTCCCAGGGCTTCTTTTTCTTCCAAGATACACCCCTTTACAATCTTCCCAGTGTAAGTCTTCAATAACCTGGTATGTCACCCCCTACGCTAGAACATATTTTCAAAAAAGTACTGAAGTATTTATTCATAGTAGGATGTAAATAACTTGTAAGACTTAACATGGTACCATTTCCAGAGATTTTAGCCCTTTGATGAATTACCACAGAGAAAAAGACAACAGAATATATTTTATCATGGAATTTTGAGCATCATTAAGCAGTATTTGGGCAGAGATGGATCTGCGAGTATCAAAATAAACCACCTATTCTTAAAACATATCTAGAATAGATGTTGACTGTTAACAGTGTTGGTGAATGAGCAATAAATTGCGTTGGGGGGAAATATATGGAAAAATTTTTTAAACCTCCAACCCCAAGGTTAGGCCTTCTCTCTACCCCCAATTACTTTAACTTACAGACTTGGAGACAAACTGACCACATACAGTACTTTGATCATTACCAGGAGATCTTGAGTGAGTGAAGAGAATTTATCATATGAGGCTAGTAGAATCAGAAAATTAGGCCAGGGGCGCCTGGGTGGCTCAGTTGGTTAAGCGACTGCCTTCAGCTCAGGTCATGATCCTGGAGTCCCGGGATCGAGTCCCACATCGGGCTCCCTGCTCAGCAGGGAGTCTGCTTCCCCCTCTGACCCTTCCCCCTCTCATGTGCTCTCTCTCTCTCATTCTCGCTCTCTCAAATAAATAAATAAAATCTTTAAAAAAAAAAAAGAAAAAGAAAATTAGGCCAGTTCAGCTTTATCATGACTGCACTAAAACGATCATTTTGACGAAATATTTCTTCATGAACTTTAGGGTAATTTTTTCCTCATCTTAAAATAAACCTGACTATTCTTACATAGTAAGAAGTAGACTTGGAATTATGATGATCATTAATTCCGAATTACTGTGCCCTTAGGAGTTAGTTTGATTTCCCAAGGAGATAAACTAAAGTTCTTGTCATCAACTTACAATTTGCTGTGTATTGCTTATTGTGATTATTTGTAATGGTATGATCGTTTTTATTTTATCCTTTACACCATCATACTCCATTCTTCTTAAATGGTAGTCCCACCAAGTTCTAAGATTAGGTTGCCTATTGGTCAGGGAGAAGTATTCATAGATTCCAAATTATTATATTTTCCCTGTGATACATTCATGTGAAATCACTAGCTCAGCATTTGATCCCAAATAACATTAAAGAACTGTTTTGTTAATATGCTCTCTCACTATAGTTTAAGTTTGTTACAAATATTCTGAATGATCCAATTCGTTTGTAGCTCACAGTTGAATTCCTCTTTTAAAATCCTCTAGTTCTTATGATTCATGCCAAAACCAGCAATCTGTTTTCAAAATGTGTAATAGTCTAACACTGTTTTCCACAAATCATACTGGTTTTGAAAAGTATGTGCTATATAGAAGCTGACTCAGAACATTTTTAGATGCCTTGGCTTTGTTTTTCTAAGAAAAAAAAAAGCAGGAGCAGAAGAAGAAGAAAAGAAAAAGAAAAAGAAAAAAGAAAAAAATCTAGTCATACCCAAATCACAGGTCATTTTGGCCATTTGCATGCAAAAACTGCAGAAATTTCATCTGTAATATTAACTCCTGATAACTTAATAAAAGTTCTTTAATACCACAGTTTTTAATCCAATATTGTACTGCCTTTATAATATCTACAAACTAATTTGTAAACAACCTCATATTTTCAATCTTTTTACTTAGAAACATACTATATTCACCACACCAAAATACTGAACAAAAAAACTTTAAGAAATGCAGAAATAAAATTGTTAGTTAAATTATAAAACAAAAATATTTGGGCCTTGATTTTAAGTGTTTTAATTAGAAGCAGAAAAGCAGTCTTAATTGGAGTTGGCTATAATTAGCCAACTTAATATAATAACTTCCTTGCCCTCTTCATGTGCAAAACAGATTATGAAAAAGAGAAGGATCTCTGTTCTACGGAAGCTTAAAAAATGAAAGCATATTGCTTTGTTTGATCCTTTTAGACCCAAGATCATTTTAAAAATTCAACACTGCTTAGACTCATTTAACAATCTCTCTTAATTCTTTGTGGTTTGTGCTACAAACACAGAGATTTTTTTTTTCTAAAACTTTTTAAAGTGAATATATTCTCTTTTCACTAGAAATAGAGTGTAAGATTCTGTTTCTACCACAAGGCGTCAGGCCATGGCAATTTAATCTTCAAAGGGCTTTACTATTACCCCGTGCAAAGTCAATGACTACAAAAAAAGTACATATTAAAACTGAACAGTCCTTAGTTGCCTTAGCTTTGATTAAAGAACAATCACAGAAATTGCGGTTGAGCGGTTGAGCATTTATTTTCCTTTGTTTTTCTAATCAGATTAGTTCTGAGGATGTTGCAAAATCCTCTTGCAATTCAGGTCTCAGACACTACCCTGAGGCTGGTTCCAACTCAGAAAAATAACTCCCCACCCCCACACACAAATTCTCTCTTTCTCCGTACCCCTTATATTTTAAAAACACCCCCGAAACTTTGAAATAGCGACAGCAGCTTTATTTTAGGGTTGGATGCCTGATTGGGTTAGGGTATGGGAAGTTGGCTTTAATATATCAGAGGCAAGGAAGAGGAGTTAACGTGGGGTTTAAGGGCCTATTCAGCCCGGGGACAGGATTCGTGCGGTTTAGGGTACAAGATTTGTACAATTTAGGGGGCAAGTCCCTCTCAGAGATTCGCATTCGGATTCCTCAACGGTAAATAGCAATCACTTCAGAGAGTTGCTGCGAAGTTTAAAACGGGCTGGCTAAGCTCTAAAGCAGTCCATCTCAAAGTGTGATCTGAGAGTGCTCCAGCATCACCAGGGAACTTGCTGGAAACACAGAATCTCAGACCTCTTCCCAGACTTAAGGATCAGGAAACCGTGAGGGGGAGGGGGGCAAATCATTTCTAATAAGGCCTACAGGTGATACACGTTAAAGTTTGAGAACCACTGCTCCAAAGAATTGCACGAATGTTCGCTACTCGGGGGATTAACGAAAGTGGGAGGAGCAGGGCTTAGACGGAAGACAGGGCCATTTGAGAGAAAACCGGGAGTGGCCTGGTGGCAATGTGGGGAAACCCTTGGTTCGGCTGCTGGGCCCTTCGAGGACTGTCCCTCCGAGGCAGGAGGCGTGCGGTCGCCCGGCACCTGCAGGTGGCGCTGGACAGGCCTTTGACAAAGAGGCGGGGTCTGAGGGGGAGAGCAGGCTTGGCGCTCCAGGGCTAGGACACCTTGTGGGGCTGGCCGGTCCCCGCAGCAGCTGCGCCGCAACTTACCGTCTGGTCGCGCCGAGGAGCGGGTGAGTCCCTTGAATCGTCCCGGCTCACTGCTTGCTCCCCGCCTCCGTGTGTCCCCGCGAGGGCGGGCGCGGGCTCGCAGCCTCGCGTGGGGTGTAGCGACTTGCAAGCCTCCCCAGCCCTGGGGCGGCGGCGTTCCCGGGCGAGAGCAGCTCAATTCGCCCCTTATGCGCGGCTCCAGGACGCACTGCCCTCCTGCCCAGTTCTCGGCCGGAGCACACTGCTCCGTTGTGGCCGGTCCAGGGGCTGGAAGCCAGGGACTCACAAGGAAGTCTTTTCGCTGGGGGCTCGAGGGATACGATAAGGTTTGTCCTTCGGTTGGATTCTGACGGCAAGTTTTCCAGCTTGGCAAGATCGCCGCCAGTTTGCGTAGCATTAATGAATGATTGGTACATAGTGCTTAAAATCGTGTGACTTGCTTTCAGGTTTCCTAGTAATAGGAAGTTTTCATTTTAAGTTCTGGGATCATTAGTCCTACTCCTTCAGGATCTGGTTTGGGGTTCAAGTTCTCTCCAAATAGTCGATCAAGGAAGGCTTCATATAATGCGTGGGTCAAACCCACTGGAAGGGGAGACATAAAATTTACAAACACTTCTAAATTTCTTTCTCTTTAAAAAAAATTTCACGGGGCGCCTGGGTGGCTCGGTCGGTTAAGCGGCCGCGTTGGGCTCGGATCATGGTCCCAGGGTCCTGGGATGGAGCCCCGCATCGCATCGGGCTCCCTGCTCAGCAGGGAGCCTGCTTCTGCCTCTCCCTCTGCCTGCCACTCTGCCTACTTGTGCGCTCTCTCTATCAAATAAATAAATAAAATCTTTAAAAAATTTTCACATGACATCCTGACATTTACTTAGATTTATTTAACACAGATATTAAGCAATGCTTAAAAAAAACAGCCCAGTGAAGAAAAACATCTTACCTTTACATAGTTAAATGTGGGGAAGCAAATATATACTTGAAAGTATAGAAGGTTTGGAAATGCAGTGCAATCCATATTGTGCTCCAGTCAATGAGTTTCTTCATATTCTAAACTCTTTGACAAAAACATGAGTCATTTGGGCTGTGTCAATATTTAGCAGGAACATCAGGTCAGCCATCCTGGTACAGCAAAACGGAACAGTCACATCAGAACTATGTTTTGCTTTTGAAAGGGGATGAAAGTTAGAGAACTTTGGGTCAAATCTGGAGTTCCTAACATCTGAACACTGTGTTGTTTCCCTTTTTTTTTTTTTTTCATGAAAAGATGTTACTGCAGAATTTAAATTATATATTTGGTTAAAGTCTGATGGAAACCAACATATTTTATTTGACAGATATTTTATTTTCTTGGCTTCTGGCACAAATTTGACTGTGGACCACAGAGCCAACAGGCTCCCTCACTGCCCTGGGCTTTTCCTTGGCCTTGCTCTCCAGTATGGTCTCCCTACCATGCAGATGAATGCGTGGATACTTCTCCAAGGCCACTGTGCCTTTTCACCCAGATTCTGTACAAAGTGGCCCTCAATCAGCAAATACTGCCAACTTGCTTGAGGCCCCAGGACCAGGTCTACAAGAGAGCCCTCACCCTTTACATGCCACGATCTGCCTATAAAACTGTCTTTCTTTGGAATCCATTGCACTACCACACAGTTGTTGAAATTTCTGCCTTTTCCCCTAGACTTTGAGTTTGTGAGAGCAGAGGCTCCATCTCATTTAACTTAGTATTCCCACTGCCTAATATTGTTGTTCACAATATAGTTAATGAGTTAACATTGAATAAGTGTAGATTTGCATGTTAACATCTTTGCCATCCTACAACTCAGAGTTAAAACATCTAAACATAGTGAATTATTTCTTGTTTGGTTACAGTAGTTAAAACTTCTATTACCGGGGTGCCCAGGTGGCTCAGTTGGTTAAGCGTCTGCCTTTGGCTCAGGTCATGATCTCGGGGTCCTGGGATTGAGACCCGAGTCAGGCTTCCGCTTGGGGAGCCTGCTCTCCCTCTCCTTCTGCTGCTTCCCCTGCTTGTGCTCTCTCTCTGTCAAATAAATAAAATCTTAAAAAAAGGGGCGCCTGGGTGACTCAGTTGGTTAAGCGACTGCCTTCAGCTCAGGTCATGATCCCAGGGTCCTGGGATCGAGCCCCGCATCGGGCTCCCTGCTTGGCCAGAAGCCTGCTTCTCCCTCTCCCATTCCCCCTGCTTGTGTTCCCTCTCACGCTGTCCCTCTCTCTCTCTCTCTCTGTCAATTAAATAAATAAATAAAATCTTTTAAAAAAAATCTTAAAAAAAGAAAAAAAAACCTCTATTCCTATTCCTAGACACATACATACCTCCCAGATTACTCTATTTATAATGTTGGTTAAATCACTAAATGATTTGGAATTATACTTATTAAGCATATAGACTGGAGGCCCTCCAGAACAGACACAAAGTCTCATTTCTTTTTCCTCCTCCGATGTCTACCATAGAATTGAGTTTCATAAATACCTGATGATTGGCATATGCTTTACTCAGAACTCTTTCAAATGCCAGTGATAGACACCCAAATCAAACTAAAGCAAAAAAGGGAATGTATTGGCTTGTGTAACTGAAAAATTCGTGATCTGGTCTCAGGAACTCTAAATACTTAAAATATACCACCAGGACTCTTCTTTGTCTTTCCCCATTTCTTGCTTGTACTTTTGTGTGTTGGCTTTCTTCTGTTCTGTTGAAGACCTCTTCCTCCTTAGAGCAAGTAGAAGAAAGCATGGTAGGCTTCTTTCATCCCAACTTAACAAAATGTTAAAAGACATCTCTTTATCTTCCACTCCCATATATAAATATCAGAGAAGGATTCTAATTGGTTCAACTAGGGTTGTATGCCATCCCTAAGCCAGTCAATGCCATCAAGGGAATGGAGATCTGTGATTAGCCAAGACTGAGTCATATGGCAAAGGAGGGACCTTTCTCCAAATGGAGGAAATGTTTTAGATCATTAAAAAGTAAGGGGAGCCACTCTGGAAAACAGTATGGAGGTTCCTCAAAAAGTTGAAAATAGAGCTACCGTATGACCCAGCAATTGCCCTATTGGGTATTTACCCCAAAGATACAAATGTATTCACCTAAAGGGGTACATGCACCCCAAAGTTTATAGCAGCAATGTCCACAATAGCCAAACTATGGAAAGAGCCGAGATGTCCATCAACAGATGAATTGATAAAGGAGATGTGGTGTATATATACACAATGGAATATTATGCAGCCATCAAAAAACACGACATCTTGCCATTTGCAACGATGTGGATGGAACTAGAGGGTATTATGCTAAGCGAAATAAGTCAATCAGAGAAAGACATGTATCATATGATCTCACTGATATGAGGAATTCTTAATCTCAGGAAACAAACTGAGGGTTGCTGGAGTGGTGGGGGGTGGGAGGGATGCGGTGGCAGGGGTGATAGACACTGGGGAGGGTATGTGCTATGGTGAGCGCTATGAATTGTGTAAGACTAATGAATCACAGACCTCTACCTCCGAAACAAATAATACATTATATGTTTAAAAAAAAAAAAAGATAGTAGGAAGGGGAAAATGAGGGGGGGGGGAATCGGAGGGGGAGACGAACCATGAGAGACTATGGACTCTGAGAAACAAACTGAGGGTTTGAGGGTTCTAGAGGGGTGGGGGGTGGGGGATGGGTTAGCCTGGTGATGGGTATTAAAGAGGGCACGTATTGAATGGAGCACTGGGTGTTATACGTAAACAATGAATCATGGAACACTACATCAGAAACTAATGATGAAATGTATGGTGATTAAAAATTAAAAAATAAAAAAGTAGGGGGAAAATGTGGGCAGACCAAAACAAATATCCTCAGCGTGAATGTTGCAAAATTTCAAAATAGATAATATATGGAAAATGTTCTCCGAGCACTTGAACAGAGGAAGATGGTTGGCATTATGTAAAGATGGCTCCTCTTTATTTTTTGAGAAAATCAAGCCTTTAAATTTGGAGAATGTTTTAAGTATTTTAAGCTACTCGTGGAAACAACTTTCCACTTGTTAAAGTGTTACAGGTGTTCTAAAATTCAGAAACACTTGGAACCTTTCTGATCATCAAGTTGTTGTATATCTAATCTGTTTTTCTCACTGAATTTCATAAAGTGCAAATTGGCGAGGTATTCCTCTAGAAATAAATTTAGAACTAATGAAAACAGTGAATAATATTGTGATATCGTATGTTCCCTTCCTTTAAAAAAATGCTACACCAAGCCTCAGGAGGATCTGTGAAGCATGTTAAGGCAAAGAATCCTTTGTCAGGTAGTAAGTTTGACAAAACTAATTTCCACAGGGTTGACCAGGAGAATAGGCATGTCAGTGATTGAACACAACTCGACAACTCCATTGGAACTGTACTAACAATTCATGTCTTACCAACAAAACCAGCCTGTTACTCTGATGAGAAAATGGCACTCTGAAAATACAGCCTTTTGGTCCTTTATGCTACTATCAGGGTCCACCTTACCAAAAGTGTCAGAATACATTTCCCCATAAAATCATTTAATTATTATTTCAGATTCCAATATCAACCCCAAAAGTCTATCAAATACAACTTCCTAAAATATAATCTTACATCAGCTAACTCCAACCTGTACTGATAACATTGTTACTCAAAAAAATGCATTCCTAATCCTATTTACTTTTGAGCAGAGTTGGCTTTCCTCTAAATGAGCACCTGGAGTTAACTTCTCCTAAAATAAAAGGCAACATCTGACCCTTTGAATTCCATATAGACAGTTTGTCATTCATTACACCAATAGCTGGACAAAGCAAAGCTGTTATTATTGACACAAGGGCACTGGTTGGAGATTCCGACAGATTATGTGAGGTTAAATGGTAAATCAGTCACTATTTTAATTGTACTTTCTAGGCCACTCTAGTCCTTATGTAAGTAAATTTTTTTATTGCCCTATCAAACATTAATGTCTTAAATAGTATAGACGTGAAGAAGACAATGATGTTTATTTTTCATTTCCATGGCTGACGCTATTCTATTTTACAGAATTAATGGAGAGCAGACGAGACATTACAAACCAAGAAGAACTTTGGACAATGAAGCCTAGGAGAAATCCAGAAGAAGATGATTACTTGGTAATATATTAATAATAATTCACTGAAATCTAGAAACAGAATTTCAATGCTGTCCTGTATCTCCTAGGGTTCTAACAGTGATTTTCACCCAGTTGACAGGTATCTTCACTCTGATTCCTGTCACTGATACTGCGATGGGCAAAGGTGGTATATAAGGGTGGTATATAAGAGAACTTGTTCCTTGACGACTGTCATGGCCTTAGCTGATAACCTCAAATAAGTCACTGAAAATCCTGGGTCTTGGTTTATCTATAAAATGAGAGAGTTGGACCAGATCAGCTCCAAGGCCCTTCTAATTCCTTCTAACATTCTGTGGGTCTAAGTTTCTTAAGAGAGTCATCAGGGCCCATATAACAGTAGTTTTGTAAGCATACATTTTTTTCCATAGGCTTTATGGCAGCTTACCAAGAGATCATCAAGTTGATTGATGATTCACCATTTAAACAGATAAATTCAATTTTGGAAGAAGAATCACTTGTCCCACTTTTGTGGGACCTGAAGATTAAATGTTTCTTACTACATTATTTGACTGAAAAAGTGGTGGAAATTTTCAGTTCCAAACTCTTTTTGCCTTTCTAAATGATGTCAACTGCATTTTTTACAGAAAGTATTTTATCTTAATTATTTTAATAGGAAAGATAATGTATTCAATAATTTTATGTAACGTTACCTTTTAAAATTATTTTCGTTAGTTATTTTAATAGGAATAATAAGATAGTACAGGTGCATATTCTATAAAGTAAGTGTGCATAAAATAAAATCATTTTCATTTTTCAAGTTAACCATCTTCCTTGCTGTTCTATAATTTTTCATCGTTAACCAGATAATCGATCTCAGTTGATTGTACTTAGATTGTTTGAACATGCAGAGATGACAGAAGCTGTCCTATGTATCATGCTCAACTCTCTTCTAAATGGGGCCATCGGAAAAAGCATTGGATGTAACAGTGATTTATCACTGAAAATAGAAGTCAAATGGCTTTTAGACACCAAAAACTATAGAGAACTATGTGAATTAAGGTTTCTCTGCATAAAATGAGGAAATGAACAAGATAATCACATCACATTAAACATTAAAATGTTATGGTTCTACACAGAGAGCTATAAGAAATGAGGAATAGCATATTGAGTGAAAAAGTAAATTAATTCATTAAAGCAGCACAATATGAAACATCCTAAGTTCTTATTTAGAAGTGTTTTGTGTTTTTTTTTTAATTTTCTGGTATATCAGTCAGTTGAGGAAATGACAAAATAGTCAACATAACCTTTTGTGAATTGTTGACTGCCTAGAAATGCAACTGGATAAAGAAGTATGACTTTCTTAGGAAATCATCTCTATGGGATTTAACTATGTATATAACCTTTGTACCTTCTGATAGAGTATTTGTCAATCATTACTTGCACAAATGAGATATTTTAGAAATACAAAATCAAAGTACAGCATGATGGAAATTATATATTTTTATAACTGTAATGACTATATTATTCCTGACCCTTTGTACTCGAATTAATGAAGAATTTGCTCCTCAGTTCTTTGTGGAGAGTTGCCCAATTACCAATAAGAATATTATAAAACAAATTCAACCATTAAGATACAAGTTTTATTATTTTTGCCAAAGATTACTGGATTTTTTTTGTTTTTCAATTTTAGTTTCCCACTTACATTATTCCATTTAATGCCTTCAAGGTGGAAACACAATGATCTCAGCTTTCATGGATAATCTTCTGTCTTTAAAAAAAGCATGTATTCCTTTGTCTTAAAGAAAAACAAATAACAGAAATTAATGGAGAATCCCAGCATAGCTAAATCCATATTCAATCAGTGCTACATCAGTATCCAAAAGCAAGGTTCTGAATGTCCTAAAATTTTCTACTGATAAGCACCATGAGCAAAATAAGTAATGCGTTGAAGAGAAATCCCATTGTTTGTTTAAGATGTTGATTTTCTTCCCTTTGTAGGATAAGGACTCTGGAGAGACCAGCATGCTGAAAAGAACTGTGTTTTCGCACATGCACCAAACAACCCACTTTGATGGATTTGACTGCCCCTCCGAGCTTCAGCACAAACAAGAACTCTTTCCAGTGTGGCGCTGGCCAATTAAAATTGCTGCTGTCATATCATCTCTGACTTTCCTTTACACTCTCCTGAGGGAAATAATTCACCCTTTTGTAACTTCCCACCAACAGTATTTTTATAAAATTCCAATCCTGGTCATCAACAAAGTCTTGCCAATGGTGTCCATCACCCTCTTGGCGCTGGTCTATTTGCCAGGGGTGATAGCAGCCATGGTACAGCTTCATAACGGAACCAAATATAAGAAATTTCCACATTGGTTGGATAGATGGATGTTAACAAGAAAACACTTGGGGCTTCTCAGTTTCTTTTTTGCTGTGCTGCATGCAATTTATAGTTTATCCTATCCAATGAGGCGATCCTACAGATACAAGTTGCTCAACTGGGCATATCAACAGGTAGGGTGACGATGTTGACAGTACCACTAAACTAAAAAGTCTAAATCATCTAACAAATTAACACTTTCTTATTTTAATATCAATACCCCAAACCTCTTTTGAAATGCTGTGTTGGGAATGTAATCTGCATTTTTCAATGTTTTATTATAATGCTTCATTGGAGCTTGGTTATATATAGTTTCATACGGAGGAATTTTTTTTTTTTACGTTGAAAATAGTAAACTGTAACTTTAACAACTTCAACACATATTTTGTTCATGGACAGGGCCACACAGCAACCTTCTACCACCCTCACAAGATTACTTTTTAATGCTAATTGTTCTTATTTACCACGTTACAATGCACATTACAGTCCTAACCAGCAAGTAACTATTATATGAATTAGCAAAACAGATTTATATAAATGCTGCATTCAAGGAAAGAGATTGAGCGCTCCTATGTCGTTTCTCATAGAAGAATGCACAAACAAAGTCACAAATTTGTGGAGGCTCCTAGTTATCAGGCCCTCCATTGTGGACAGAGGGAATGTAGAAGGTGATTCATCTGCCAGAAACAGATGTTGTTTGCATTCCTTCTTTCCCCTTTTCACCCTCTGGTAGGTCCAACAAAATAAAGAAGATGCCTGGATTGAGCATGATGTTTGGAGAATGGAAATGTATGTGTCTCTGGGAATTGTGGCACTTGGAATACTGGCTCTGTTAGCTGTGACATCCATTCCATCCGTGAGCGATTCTTTGACATGGAGAGAATTTCACTATATTCAGGTAAATTATATATCAATTTTTATAATTGGTCCCTCCCAAAAGATTTGCCTCTCTGGTCCCTCAGAGAGGCAGATCTTTTCTGTGCTTAGAATACCATCAACTATATTGACTTTGTCCCATAAAAAATAACAAATGGTTTTCCAGTAGGAAAGATCCCACACTTGTTCCAATCAAAAAGGTGCTCCCCAATAATTTTTCCTTATCACTTCTAAGTAGAAGTGTTTTCTAAATACAAATAAAAAGCATTACTCAAAAATATTTCTAACATTTGAAACTTGTTAGACAATTTTCTGTCCACCTAATAACGCCACAGGTGATATTTTAGGAATTTAATATTCACGGTTTATTCATTCCCCCCAAATAAAAATATTCTTTTGCCTGCCCCCTGATTTTACTTATGCCTTTTAAGTTACACAGCTTGGTACTACCTTTAAAAAAGCATTTGTCATTGAAATTTGGAGTTTTAATTACCAAAGGTATTCTAATATCTAATTTTATTTTATTTTAGAGATTTTATTTATTTATGTGTGAGAGAGAGAGCATGAGAGGGGGGAGGGTCAGAGGGAGAAGCAGACTCCCCGCCGAGCAAGGAGCCCGATGCAGGACTCGATCCCGGGACTCCAGGATCATGACCTGAGCCGAAGGCCGTCACTTAACCAACTGAGCCACCCAGGCACCCAACTAATATCTAATTTTAAAGACTGCTTTTTCCAACTTACATTTGATGTAGCTTACTGACTTGAAGTTTCTCAATATTCTTGGAATTCAAGATTATCTCGGACTTACAGAGGTTTATCTCCTAGTGGTAGATTACACCATAAGAAAAGCAGCGTGCCAGAACTCACGGGGGATCCGTGTCTGACAGGATGCAAAGGACTGAATTTAGTTTAATCGTAAGCACTGCCAGGATTTTTTTAAAGTACGTAGTTTAGCTTCTTTGGGTGCTCATTTTTGGAAACTCCCACGAAGTCAGACATTTCCCCACTATCCCTTCTACATGTCTATACATATATTCCTACAGAAACTTTACCAGAATATCTGGTTAGGCAGGAAAACATGTCTCCATCTGAATTATTACAATGGAGCTTAGAAATAGTGCCACATTTTCCAAGCACAGTATTTGCTGATTGTGTAGGCTTAGATTGATAGCCATTAGAGTTCTCTGTTCCTCATTAAATACCTTGTTTTTACATTTGCTCTGCCTGTCACAATATGCTGAGCACCACTTTTTATGTTTAATTAGGAATTCAAGCACTGCATCTTGACTACCCAGCCCATTCTACTATGTACACAAGACCTAATCCATGATAAGTATACAGTACACATTTGGTAAAATGAATCTTCAACCAATCACTTATATTTTTCAATTAATAACCTAGACACTTTCCATTTACAATCCAAGATTAGTTATTCTATGATTTACCTTGGAGATTGATATTTGAAAATATAAACTTAGCTTTTGATTGTATTCATTGGGGCTTAAGAGTGCTTACTGCTGAATAATTGTGAGTTGGATTCATTCTGGCAGGCTAATGACCATTTCCAGTAAAGCAAATAGAAGTCAAAACTTATCTAGAAGAGCCATTGTCAGAATGCCATAAAATTACATAGGTGAACAACTATTTTTAAGCAACTTTTTCTGGATAGTGCCAAGTATCCCAATACAAGTTGAAATTTTTCTTCACATCTTCGTATCTCTATGTGTTATGTAAACAGTGGAAATAGTTGTTGGCATTTTTCCACTTTATCAGGATGTTTGATTTTTTTTAATTTTTTTTTTTTAAGATTTTATTTATTTATTTGACAGAGAGAGACACAGCGAGAGAGGGAACCCAAGCAGGGGGAGTGGGAGAGGGAGAAGCAGGCTTCCCGCTGAGCAGGGAGCCTGATGCAGGGCTCGATCCCAGGACCCTGGGATCGTGACCTGAGCCGAAGGCAGACGCTTAATGACTGAGGCACCCAGGTGCCCCTGGATGTTTGATTTTTAACATGGGCCACGCTCACTCACCTTAGTATTCATGTACCAAAATCAGAATCAGTTACGCTAGTTGCTTTCATAATTGGTAAGATCACTGATATCAAATTGATTTTTGCACTAATCGTCAGTCAACCTATTAATATTTACTGAGCACCTAAAATGCACGAATCGTTGTGTTGATTCTGCAGGGAATCTGTGATGAGTCAAAGTCCCTGATTATAGATGTCTCTTGATAGGCAGAATGAAGGCAAATGCTCAAGAGACAAAGCACCATAAAATAAACATCATCAGACAGATGAACAAAGTATGGAGAGAAAAGAAAGACGGTGTTATTGATTGGCTGAGGTTGAAAGGAGATTGATTGTGAACTTTCTCAACTTAAATCACCTGTGGACAAAACATTACCCAAAGTAAGGGGGTGAGGTAGGGATGTGTGAGGAGAATGGAAAGATGTGAGTGGGCATTGTTGAGAAATATAATAGGGAAATGATTACAGGTGAATGAAGGAATTTCCAAGCGACAGAACAGATGAGGTAGGATGGAATAAACTCTTACTAAACCAATCCCACCATTTTTTTTCTTTTGCAGAGTAAGCTAGGAATTGTTTCCCTTCTTCTGGGCACAATACATGCATTGATTTTTGCCTGGAATAAATGGGTAGATATAAAACAATTTGTGTGGTACACACCTCCAACTTTTATGATAGCTGTCTTCCTTCCGATTGTTGTCCTGCTCTGCAAAGCCGTACTGCGCCTGCCATGCCTGAGGAAGAAGATACTGAAGATTAGACATGGTTGGGAAGATGTCACCAAAATTAATAAAACTGACATATCTTCCCAGTTGTAGAATCACCGTTTACACACATTTTTGTTCAATTGATATATTTTACCATAAATGTTTCAGATTTGTATTTGTTTGATAAAGTGACCACTTGAGGGTCTTAATGTATCTCTTTGTTGCTGAGTCCTGAGTTTGAAGTATGTGTAGTTCTCTGTAGATTTGATTCAAAGCAATAAATAAAGCAATCTTGAGCACATTCTCTATATTCAATAGAACTAAGCATAACAAAACAATCACATCTGATTTGTCAGACTGTATAGATTTATAAATAATAAAAGGCCTTGCAGTCCCAGTCCCTACAACTCATTAAAATATATCATGAGCCATGAAAAAATATATTATCTGAATCTACCATGCAAGTATATCCAGTATTTATGATTGTTGTTAAAGATGGGTTTCATTTTCCTGTAACTGGGTGTTATTCATGAATCACCAATTGCAAAAAACACACAGATTGTGTCTACACAAGCAAAGCAACAGAATAACATCAGATATACCTCCAGAAAAAATAAAACTCAAGCTTTCCAGGAGAAAAAGTAACTTCACTTTTCTCTATATGAGTTACATAAACTCAGTTGGACATAATACACTGGTGAAAGCATACCTTGAACCAGTTCCTCAAAGAACAAAGTATACATCAGCTGTCAGGACTCTCTAACCCAACAGACTACACTTCAGAGGTTTTTTTATAGTTAGAAAAAACTAACTATGAACAATATCTTTTATATAGGTAAACCATTTTTTTATGATTTAGAATAATAGAGCTAATGCTAATGATACAAATTAGGAAAAACAGTATATTCACTGAGTGTTCATTTTTTTTTCTTTAATTTTTTATTCTGTTAAAAAAGGACAATTCTTTTGGCGCCTGGGTGGCTCAGTCAGTTAAGCTTCCAGCTCTTGACTTTGGCTCAGGGTCGTGAGATTGTGGAAACTGCTTAAGATTTTCTCTCTCCCTCTCTCTCTGCCCCCCCATCTTTCAGAAAGAGAGAGAGAGAAAGAAAGAAGAAAGAAAGAAAAAGAAAGAAAGAAAGAAAGAAAGAGGAAAGAAAGAAAGAAAGAAGAAAGAAAGAGAAAGAAAGAGAAAAAGAAAGAAAAGGAAAGAAGGAAGGAAGGAAAGAGAAAGAAAAAGAAAAAAGAAAAGAAAAAAAGAAAGAAAAAGAAGGAAAGAAAAAGAAAGGGAAAGGACAATTCTGCATTATTACATGGGGACTAAGGAGCTATCTGGAGTATAAATTTGAGTTCTATGCACTACTGAGATTCAGACTTACAGAGATAGATCTATGTCTGGAGATAGTGAAGAGTTCAGAGTAGCATAACTGGAAACAGCAGACAATAGTGCCCTGGAGAAATAAGTCACCATTAGAGAAGAAATGTAGGGCTTGAAAATTACAATGCAGATTCTTCAAGGGGATATAACAATGGTACCTCTTCACTAAGCATGTGATGCATGCCATACCCTTACCAACCAGCCCTGGGATGCCACGGTAAACCACCCGCCCTCTCAACTGCATTGCATGATGGCATAGTGGCAACATGTCCAGTACTGAGAGGGAGAAATCAAGTGCTGGCCTTCCTCACACCAAGACATCATGGAGGCTGCAGCTTGGAAACAGGGTTCCAACCCAAAGCAGCATTTCCGTGAAACTGTCAGGGACAACAGCTGAGCTCTGGCTTGGTTATTGGAGTCCTATCTCTGTTTGCCATGGTAATACACAACAACAGGCCAATTCTGAAACACAGAATATACCCTTTAGGGAATTCCTAATGGTAGAAGAAAAGGAGTCTACGAGGACCTTAGAAGTAAGGCATAAAAAGATATAGATTCAATTGGTACTTATAGGCTTTTGAAAACCAGACCATTCACATTTGGGTATCTTTTCTGAATTTTTTACAATGGTTGGATAGTATTATTACTAGAAGAAAACAATAAAAGTTGTCTTAAAAAGAACAAATATTATATTCTGGTATGAGCTTGGATTTCCTTTTACTCAATGGATGTTTATAGAGCACCTCCCCTATATAAGGCCCAGTGTTAGAAGATATATCAAGAGAGGAATAACCAGTCCCACTCACCATCTCAAAGGAAAGACAAATTGTAGGTCAGCAATGGATTCTAGGCTTACTGGTATCCCTAAGGAGGAAATGACCAGTTCTGCCTAGAAGGACAAAGTCAGAAAGCTGTAAAGTTGATGCAAAAAAAAAAAAAGGAGGAACTATCTGAAATAAAGTATAAATAAGAGTCCTTCACATGGAATGGGAAGCAAAAAGAAAGGTGTTTCTCAGCTCCTTTGATAAGGTGATTTTTTTAAATGAAACTACTAATACAATTAACATGATTGTGGAGGACAGTCACGCAGGGTCTCTCACGCACAAAGAACAGCACCTAGAAAAGCTGCTGGCCAGGAGCCCAAAGCCCTCCTTCCCCAGAGCTTCCTTTTCTACTTAAAATGAAGTCTATCCAGGGTTTATTTTCTTTAAGCATTTGCTCTATAGGAATCTTACAGGCTTTCATTTAAAAAAAAATTGTTAAAATGATGTCTTTTTACTATTTTTTTTAAGATTTTATTTACTTGATAGAGAGACAGCGAGAGCGGGAACACAAGCAGGGGGAGTGGGAGAGGGAGAAGCAGGCTTCCCGCGAGTGGGGAGCCCGATGCAGGGCTCAATCCCAGGACCCTGGGACCATGACATGAGCCAAGAGCAGACACTTAACGACTGAGCCACCCAGGCACCCCTCTTTTTACTATTTTAATAATGAGTTCATTTAATATTTTAAGACAATAAAAAAAGAAATGTATGATTCTGATCTGATTTTCAGACCATAGACCACACATCTGAGGAAGCCTGTAAAGAATTATTAAGCACAGGATCTGTAAAATTAAACATATAAATTAATAACAAAAATATGTGATTTTCATTGGTAACATTAACTCTGGAATTTTCTTCCAAGAAAATGAACAAGTTGTAGTAGCTCCTTTTCCTAAAACTGGTCTTCAGAGTACAAGTATTACAAATTTTCCAGCTTGGATTTAATGTTAAGTTTTACTCGGTTAACTAGAAGTCCTCTTTCTTCATGCCAATTTTTCCAGGTGTTTTCAAGAGGCCCTCTGAAGAGGTAATAAATTATGTGATCCATTTGTGGAAAATAATCCTATGCTTGAAGAAATTAATGAATCACTGACTTGTAACCATTACACATGACCCGAGGCTAAAGTTCAGTCCTTTCTTCTCAGCTAATTCTACTTCTTCAGCTGGTCAGGGGGTCCTCACATTTCTTGCTAGTGAGTTGTGAGATTCCCAGAACTATTAATGGATGCCCATTTTAACCGTGCCAAGAACAAGTTGCCAGTTCATGTAACTGTAAAATTATTGACCTGGAAGAGACCGATGAGATCACCTGAGCTTCTAATCCCTTGCCCGAAGGCATGACCCCCACTGAAATGAGGCTCCCTCAGCAAAATGTTTGTATTTCTGGATCATACTAAAGAGAGAGAAGAAGGGAAAGAAAACACAGGTGCCAGTATTGTAATGTGAAGAACCTGTTGATCTTCCCAGAACCAATGCTCCCCGGCACCACCAGATCAGGGAGTGGCTGGTTGGACAAGATCTGAGAGTCAGAGAACCAGGAAGCTAAGCTCAGGGATTCTTGATGCCTTGGCCCATAATCTGGGAAATGACTTCAGACCTTCCCTGTCTTGTAACAAGAAGTTGTGACCACAAAAGAAATATTAATTGATTTACACAGTGTAAGAGTTGGAAGAGTAGGTTCTATTTTCATTTTTTTAATACAACTTTTTTTTTTTTTTGAGAGAGAGAGCAGGGGAGGGGCAGAGGGAGAGGGAGAGAGAGAATCCCAAGCAGACTCCATGCCCAGCCCAGAGACCTACACAGGGCTCAATCTCATGACCCTGAGATCACGACATGAGCTGAAATAAAGAGTTGGATGCTTAACCCTACTGAGCCACCCAGGTACCCGTTTAATACAACATTTTTAAGCAAAATCCCTAACAAAAGCCCAGCATGTAATAGAGGTCAGATTTGAAGTGGGCTAGTAGGACCAGAAGCCATACTTTGTTTTTTCCTTCTTCCATCCTGCTCACAAGCCCCTGTGACAACTTGGACTCCACAGTGCACCGTTTGAAAACCACTCCTCACTTATACACACGAGGGAACTAATCTTTTTGTCAAAGATTACTTATTTGCAAAGCACAGAAACCTACTCAAAGTCGCTCAGGTAAAGGAGGAAAATATTGATAACATAAAGGGGACACTGATATAACCCACAGGTAGAGGGGATGACTTACCCTTCCGGGCCCTAGAGCTGGGTCCCACAAGCCAGGATCTAATTGCCTCTGCTTGTTCCTTCTCTGCAGACAGATGTCACAATGACGTGAAGTTAAAAGTGGGTTCTTGCCTTTTGTCTCAAATTTGGCAACTAGGCCCACGGCTGAGAACCAAAAGGGCTAAGTAGTCCTCCTCATTTCAGCGGACAAGCAGCCGTGGGGTCAGATGGGGTTTGCCGAGACATGCTTTTCAGCAGAACTGGCCCTACAACCACTCAACACCTCATCGCCAATACCTCTAAGAGGACAGAGGGAGGGGTCAGGGTCTCCTTTGGTCTGGGAAGAGAAACTGTGCACACGTCTTACCTCACTTCACCTGAGCACCGAGTAAACTCTTCACCTTCTCTGCATCCTCAATGCACATGGACTTGGCTTGAAAAGACCTACAATGAATGCACTGACTAGCCCTGCTTGACATGGATCATAACAAATGTTTTGTGAACTCTCAACGCTGCTCTCAACTCTCAACCTATGACCTTTGTATATTTCCATAGGAAGTCTGTTTTTCCTCTTGTTAAAACCGTATCACACCCTCCCTCTGCTCTAACAAATAATAATCTCTCCTCCTACACTCCACTGGTACATTTTTTTTTTTTAGGAAATAGATGTACTCAGAAGAGAGCTGTCTCATCTTCTAAGAAATCTATCTACCAATGTACACACACCTGGTGCCTTTGTCCTCTGCTTGTTAAAGCGTTGTCCCTGTCCCTAAGGTCAACTCTTCCATTGTGGCACCAAATCTCATCCCTTTTTCTACTCAAAGAACTT